AGGCATCTGTTAAAAATTCTTGTTCAATCTTCACAGCATTATCAATGATAGAATATACATATTTCTGATCAGGCTTATTAATCAAGTACTTAAATATCAAACAAGCAAAATCTGTGTGTAACCCTTCATCTCTAGAAATCAATTCATTACTGAAGGTTAGACCTGGCATTAAACCACGTTTTTTTAACCAAAATATTGCAGCAAATGAACCACTAAAGAAAATACCCTCTACTGCAGCAAAGGCAACAATGCGTTCGGCATATGTTGCCGTTCTATTGGTAATCCACCTTAGAGCCCAATCAGCTTTTTTCTTAACAGCTGGCAGCGTTTCAATAGCATTAAATAATCTGTTCTGCTCCTGTAAATCTTTTATGTATGTATTAATAAGTAAACTGTACATTTCATTGTGAATATTTTCCATGGCAATCTGAAAACCATAAAAACACCTCACTTCTGGTATTTGTACCTCTTGGCAGAAACGTTCAACAAGATTTTCATTGACGATACCATCTGATGCGGCAAAAAATGCTAGAACATGTGAAATGAAGTGACGTTCCTCGTCATTAAGTTTCTGTTCCCAATCTACAATATCCTTTGACAAGTCTACTTCTTCAACTGTCCAAAATGATGCTAGCGCCTTCTTATACATTTTAAAGATATCATGATTTTTAATTGGGAACAATGTAAAACGTCCTGGATTTTTAATCAAAAAGGGTTCAATCATCTGAAAAAATATATAAATAAATAAATAAAATATTTATTTTAACATTATGTTCACTATCATAGCATAATAAACGAATGAAATTATTGAATTTTGAGTAAAAAAGAGATTAATTTACTACGTACATGTTCTTCCATCCTATATTTTATGTAAACTAAAATAGGTATATATACATACATACATATACATACACACACATATATATTCTTTTCTTTGACACGCTTCCCAATGAGCAGTATCCATTATAACACCAGGCAGTAATACTTCCTATGTTTTGAAGGCATGCCAATTGAACCTGATTGTGACTCACTGCTGCGTTTGTTGCTATTTACTTCAGTAACAGTATATTCACTCTCTGGGAGAACTTCAGAAGGGTATATAGGGGGTATTTCATTGTTCCAAGTATCAAGTAGATTTGCTCTCAATTTTTCTGAATTGATACTCCCTATATCTTCTGTTAAAATATTTAAAGATTTTAAATGAGGTTTAATACTAATGTCTGCAAATTCATATGAAAGGTACTTATTTACCAATACATAATTTCGTTCCCAGTCATTCATACTTAAAATAATCTTAACATCTTCAAAATGTTTTAAATTAAAGTTTTCCACTTTATTTATTGAGGGCCAAGTAATTGAAGCACATTTTATAATAATTATTTCACTGTTTTGAAGATCAATTAATACGTCGGCAAATGTTTTTCTTACATTTATCGATGAAACATTATCTAATATAAGTAAAAATGAATTTTCCACTAAATGATACAAGTTGATTGTTGGATTAAAGTTTTGTAAAAATTCCACTTTTATTTTTAAATTATTTCTCCATATGACAATTTTATCCCACACTTGAATGATATTTTGGGGGCTGTTAGTATTATAACAGAATATTTTCTGGGGTAGATTTCATATTGCTTTTTCATGGTTTACAAAAAAAAAAAAGCAACTGCGCCACCCTTGCTGACAGTTGGGATCTTGAAGAACAAATAGAACCAATATCACCATCACTTTATAATTATCTGAAAATGATAAAAAAAAAATAGTTCTTTGTATATCATAAGCTCAGAAATATATAAAGATGTGTTGATACAAAAGTAGAATGAATAATTTGTTCCACAAGAACAAATCTACATACCTTATTTTTTATATAATTATCTTTTTAGTAATAATATTTAAACAGGTTACTATATCATGCTTTATAGTATTATAAATCCTACATTTTAACCGTGATCCTAAATTTAACCACAGCAAATGGATCACTCATTATATTAATATTTTTTGCCCACATTTTACATTTTATAATATTTTCACCTGGGCTAAGTTTCAATTGAATAGGAAGAAGTGGGGCATAATATCCATCTATATGTTCCTTGGTTGGAAAATAATAAACAGGAAAACCTTGCGGAGTATATTTGTTTGGACTATTAACCCAAATATGTGAACAAGATACCCATACACATTTTGGTAACTTATTACCATTAGCAATTGAGCTTTTCTTCATATTTTCACGCAGGCTTGTAATCTCATGATCTGCAGAGGGTGGAAGATCTTCAATATTCTCATATACAATAGGTACAAAATTTGGAAGATTACGAATAGATAATAAAATTATCGGTGTTAAGGTATTAAAATACCAATTCTCTTTTCTAAATTGATCAAATATGGATGTATCAAATTTACAAAATACATTATTATTTTCATCATTAGGAATCGTTGTATCATCATTACAATTAACTGTATTTACATGAGAAATCATATCGTAACCACGATTTTGGTCCATATAATACTTACTTTCAAAGACAACATACAGACCAGCAGGTTCAGTATTAGTTTTTGTAATGAAATTCATTGACAGTTGAGGATGCCGAGTTGAAATTGTTGACCTATTTCTTGAATAATATAAATATATAATTGAAAAGATCACAATTAAAAATATTATAAATATTATAATATATAAGGAATTTGATAGTGACATTATTATTTTATTTTATATAAAAAAATGTCTCTCACATCTAAACTAATAATGTATACTAATGATTATATTATATATATAACGAAACAACATTCTTGTTGACTTAGTTGTGTTATTTTGGATACGATGGTCATCTAGTCAATATGTGGGGTTACCTGCAGGGGTCACGACTATCCTCAGTTCTAATCTACACATGAATAATCTTCCATTTAGACCACCACACAGCTGAGTGGATACGAACATTGGATAGTGTCTTTCACCCTGATACCCCTGTTTCATAGCAGTGCTTCCTGGGGGTAGAAATAGGCCTGGTCTAAAACTGGTCTGTGGGGACCTAGTAGCCAGAATGCACTTCTCAGCCTACTATGCAAGGCCCGATTTGCCTAATAAGCCAAGTTTTCCTGAATTAATATATTTTCTCTAATTTTTTTCTTATGAAATGATAAAGCTACCCATTTCATTATGTATGAGGTCAAGTTTTTTTTATTGGAGTTAAAATTAACGTAAATATATGACCGAACCTAACCAACCCTACCTAACCTAACCTAACCTATCTTTATAGGTTAGATTAGGTTTGGTAGCCGTAAAAGTTAGGTTAGGTTAGGTTAGGTAGTCGAAAAATAATTAAATCATGAAAATTTGGCTTATTAGGCAAATCGGGCCTTGCATAGTAGGCTGATAAGTGCGTTCTGGCTACTAGGTACGACATATATATATATATATATTAAATTATTGTTGACTCGAGCTCCTTTTTTATCTGTGATATAAATGCTAAAATTATATTGATCTCATTTTCAATTACATCAGTTAGAATATTATCTCTGTGTGATGTTAATGTTTCACTAAAGGCTTCCTCAAGAACTGTTGGAGTATAATTCAACAAATGAAGGCAACCATAATTATGAACATGTTGAGCCACATTACATTTGATTTCATCTGTATGGAATGAACTGTAAATAATCTGTGCATGACATAAACCATATGGATTCTGGCAATTCAGTTGTTGATTAACATTATTAGATAATGGTGATGGTGGAGATGATGTTAGTTCAAGTTGAGATGGTGGTTGGGAAGAAGAAGGTAGTCTAGGATTATGAATAGGTTTTCGTGATGTAACTTTATATGGATTTTGGGAGTGAGTGGGTTTTAAGGTAATATTCCCTTGTAAGGTCAAATAATTGCGTACCAATGTATGTTGTTTATGTATAACTCCTCCACCATTAGCAATCCATATAATAGTTACAAATAGAGAGTGTAACATATCGAGAAGTAGACGACAATTACTTTGAGCTAAATAATTATGATATATTTTGAAGTCTTTGCTACCTATTATTAAATTTTCTTTGCATTTAACTTTGATTCTATTTAGAGTATTACTTTCAATATTTTCAATATTTTCAGTACGTTGTATTAAAGATTGGGGATGAGAAAACACAATATCTTTAATTTTTTTGGTTTCTGCATGAGGTGAAAATAAATAATGAAGGAGACTAAATGACATAATATAAAATTTCCCTGTTTCAGAAACCAGCAAACGATATGGATGTATTAGATAGGGAAAATATTTAATTATATTAAATACTTGGTGAATTTTATTGATCAAATCGCTCAATTGGGTTAAATATATTAAACGCTTAGAAATAGAAAATAAATCACACAAGCCCAAAATGGGACGAATTCCCAATAAATCATTATTATGATCTTTACTATCAATTGCACAATCATTAGTTCCTAGCTTCCACATATTATCAAACATTTCTACCGATCGACCATCTATAAGTCTAAATCTGTGAGAGGGATTTGCAACAAGGGAATTTAGATCATGTTCATTTAAGAGATAAAGTGGCGTAATATTATTCTTGAAACCACCTAAGAGTAAATCAGCTGTAATTTGGCCATTGGTTTCGTGAGAAAAAATATGATGAGGGCTAATGTATATTATCTGAATTTCTTTAGGTATAATTTTCTTTGAAAGATAAAGTGAATCTAATGACTGGCCCAGTAAACCTAGTGGCTTCATTTCACATAATACAGGATGTATATGGAGTATATTATCTTTTCCATAATATTGGAATGAAGAAAAATTTGAAAGTTTTAAACATAAATTTTGATTCATAATTAGAGTTAGGCCTAGTAAAAACTTGTCATTGATCTTATTATTATCAATTAGAAGATTTTTATTCATTTTTTTTTATAACCTATACCAATTTCTTTCTATGATTAAATAGTTGTTTTCTTTGTTTATTTGTGTATTTGCGATTTACCATAATTTTTCTGAAATAAATTCTAAATAGCCCACTGGTGTGAAGCTGGTACAACACACTAGTGTGTCTGGTTACTGGTACAACACACTAGTGTCTCTGGTGACTGGATCACTTATCAGTGATCTGTCTGGCTCCCCTGGTATAAATATACAAAAACAGAGCTGTGGTAAACACCTACAGTAACAGACCATGGTAAATTTATAGAAGAAAATTGAAAATATATTTTCAAAAATTATGGTAAATAAATAAATATATAGTTGTATTAGAATTTTTTCATTATATATGAAGTTATTCTTATTATAACAAAACAGGGTTCACATGAAAACCACATAGATATAGCAGACTGGATGATTCTATTTATTAAAAAATATTTTACAGATTGTCTGTCATATAAACCATAAAGGTATTTTTATGGTTAGGTATTTAGTAGTGTCAATATCGCAGCCTTACCTAAATATCTATATGACCAAACCTAAAATCAACCCTACCTAAATATGAACTGATTTAAAAAAAAAAAAAATATATATATATAGTTCAATTTAAAATGAACATATCATAGAATTTTTTAGCCTTTGAATATTCAAGAAAGGTACACCTAACACTTGTAAATGTAATTTTTCCTGTATTTATGAAACCATTGACCAGTCCTTGTTCAGTAGTCACTGTCCCGATAATCACTTCCGAACATGAGTATTGAATATCAATCTGACTTCCTGTTCGTTGGTTATCATTGACTATAACAGGATGTCCAAACATGTAATCACCACATT